CTTGTTATTCTGCTGGAAATCATTAAGAAGGAACACTACTGACTTACAAACACCTAGATCTCACTCTAAAGCAACTGAAGGAACTGTTTGTGGATATTCAGAATATACCACCTCCACTAAGCAGTTGTATGTAGATGGTACAACCACCATGGGAGATACTCTATGAAAGAGCGAAAGGTCTTTCTCCACTTGGCCCAGGCTGAATGACTACGTTGCTTTATCTCACTCTGAAAAGAAATACACCAGGGAGGATAAAGGAGGCATATTTTCATGGCTGGTGTTCAATAAGCTTGACCCTTTTCATTGCTGGCAGTTGAGGAAGGATGACAACTGTCAATCAGCTGACCGGGCCCTTTGCTCACGAGCATGTTATCTATCTGGAGTCTCTTTCTGGTGGAGCATTTACAGATGGACACCAGATATCCAACAGACAGACACGCTTCTTCAGAGGAAGCACTGAAAGGCTTCACTTATCAGAAGGAAAAGGCATTCCTGGCCACCAATGGCTAGAACACCCTAAGAAAGGAAGCCAGAGCACAGGGATGGCGGGATGTTTATAGATTAGGTCCCCTTGGAGGTAAGGGCTGAGGGTGGGGAGGGAACTGGGAAGGGACTCCCAAAACAAAAAACCCTCCACAACCCTCCACATCTGCATTGCTGCTCCAGCTTAAGGACAGGGTTTTTTTTCCCCTGTAGTTCTTCTGAAAAAGCAAACTCTTGCACTAAAATTTATTTCTCTGTTGTTGCTATCAGTGCAATGTTTATTCTGCTGAGATCATGAAGGAGATGCTATAAGGAAAAACATCTTTATCCAATTTAGATAATTCAGATTTTTTTAACGCAAAAGAACCACAAAAAACACAAGCATTTTTACATCAATAAGCTTTTCTTTTCAGAGCTAATACTGATGCTGTCTAGGTAGTTGCACTTTGTGAAAAGATATGCCATTCCCCACCATTTAAAACTTTATTTTTCCTTGAAAAGTGGCTACTTGTTATACACCATGTTGGAGTTGGCACTCTCTGTATTTCATGCTTAGAAGATAACCGCATGAATAATTATTTTCCCCCAATTTGTCTCTCGTTTGCTTTGCCTGGGTCTAGTTTCAGTGCAGAAAGAAGGTATTAACCGCAATCAGAAGAAAGTAGTACTGGGAAGATCTCATAATACCTGAAAACATGACTATAATCTAGTCCACAAAATGCAAGTTATGCTGTTTAATATGTGGTTGTCTTGTGTTTCTGGAACTTAGACCTTTTATAAGGACAGACTGCTGACCCATCTCCAACCATGCGGGCCTTTTGTCTATTCATTAAGCTTTGATCTGTCGAGAAGCTAAAATGCTTATCAGTGTAGCTTTCACTGTCACTGCCCCAAAAATGCTAGATAGTGTCCTCACACTAGTTTTACAGCATTGGTCCTCACCTACACCTATGGTAATTCCTGAACCACTGAAGAATTAATTGACTGTTCCCTTGCTGCTTGCAGACACGCCTATACTTGGTCTCTCTTCCTTAAAATAGGAACTCGACCAAAGAGCATGGCATGCTTCTGCACTTGCAAGAAATAGATGCAACAGAGCAGAGTACTGCCAAGAAGCAAGGGGAGTATCAGGCATCTCACCCCACTTTACTAGCTAGCTACTTCCCTGAGAAGGATCGTGATGTTCACCAGAAAAGGGTCCATCACCCTAGCAGCAGACATTACCCGCTTCTAGGAGCCCAGCACCCAGGCTTCCTTCCGGGTGACAAGAAACTGACAACACTTTAAGGAGTGCGAATGCAATCGCTCCTGCTCCTCTTCCAAAAATCTTGATCCATTTTCTCTTTAGTCCCCTATTAAAGAGTTCACATTAATTTATTCTCTGCCTCAACCCCCCCAAAAATAAGGGTTTAACCAGCCTCCTCTACCATTCTTTGCACTAAAGAACATCAGGGAAATTTGAAGCAAAGTCTACAGATGTAGCACATTAACTTTTCTGAATCCAAACTGGAGAAAGTATTTTGTCTTGAGTTATGTCAACAAACTTCGTTATGATACTCCGAGTATACCATAACAAAGTATTTTCAAAATAGATCAAATTACTACAACCCATTCAACAGTCCACTTCCTTTCAACAGTCTTAACACAAACTATGTAAAGAAATGTTTAAAAGAAGCATTTCAGAACTTCCTAAAAACCTTAAAGTTTGAGAACTTCAAAACAAGGCTGTCCTTCCAATAGAAAACGATTTTTTTTTTTTTATTATGGCATTTTTCACCATATAGGGGGTTTTAACAAGCTCTAATGACGATCGTTCATCTCTATTAGGGAGCTGAGACACTGTATTCCCTAAAATCCCTTTCAAATAGACACTAACTCAGTCTTCAAATGGATTTGAACACAGAATAGTTACAGTCCCACTGCACCAGGTTAAAAAGCAATTAGCTTAGCATTAATGAAAATGTAAAGGTGCCCACACTGTCTAAAGTTAAGGAGCCCAAGCATAATCAATACAACTGTTCGAAGCAGCTGTATGAGGAGATTTTCTCTCCATCCGCTATATATGGAGCCCAATAATCTGTTTTGGCATCTGAGAGGTTTACAGTCTGATAGTGTTAATACCCTTCTAACAGCTACATCCCAAGACAGCAGTACTCTAAAAGCTCACATGGCAAAACAGAATGGCATGCATGTCTGGACAGCATCAAGAGAAGACTGTGATGCATACTTGCACAAAAGTGAATAAACCAGTTTCTCTGTAACATGTGATCCTACAACACATTTGCCCCAGACTTTTATGTTTGTTTTTTTAAACAGTTGGTTTTGGGGTTGTTGTTTTTTGCTTGAAAGATACAACTTAAATTACCATGATGACTCTCAGTAACAAGAGGAAGAACTTGAAAATGCGCTTCTAAAATAAATGCTTCAGTATCTTTCTGCAGTGCCAATGTATTACTTTTTTAAATGCAGATATTTTTCACTCAAAAAACTAAGGCACCAGAAAAAAAGGCCAAATCTCTGTATGTCTATGGGATACATAGCACAGTATCAGTCAGAGGAAATCTAAAAAGGTGATGGTAGATACTTGTGTCTGAAGTACCTACCGAGGCGCCTAAAAACCAGCCAATATTCTCTGTAAATCCTGTAGGAAGTCTCAAAGTATTAGGTGAGAACTGCCAGGCTTCTGGTTCTTACTGAAATTCAGACCAACTTTTAACTACTGAATTAATGAAACAAGCCTGAAGAGCAGGCATATATTATCGTAAGGAATGCACAGATGCAAGGATAGGAGATAAAGGCCTAACTGCTGACATGCACACTCATACTGAAAGAGACCCTGTATATATTCCGGTTGGCACGTTATAACCAAAGGTGACTGTATTCACTTGAGCTTAAGGTTCCAGTGGATGGCCTAGTTTTGCCTGTCTACAAAATGAAAACTGATAAGGAACAACTAAAATAGAAATGTAATCCTGTTCCTTTTAATATTACCTAAAAAGTACATGAGATTCATGACCAGCTCCTGGTAACTTCACATTGACATACTAGAGAAAGGCAAAACAAAACTATCAGGCATTAGATTCAATTGTAGTTTGGATTTTGTTTGTTATGGCTGATTACAGAAGACAGTGCTGCCCTCGATAGTGATGTTCTAGCATCACACTAAACTGTGCAATTTTAACTAGAAAAGGCAGCGTATTGTTTACAGGCTCAGCTTGTCAAGAGTTAAGAGATCATTTTGTCACATGCGGCTATGGTAGATGTTTTAAAAAGTAATCTCCAGTTCTACACAAAAACCACAGTATAAAGGAGGTTACACACCTGCACACGAAGAGTATGTTCATATAAAACCATGCACTGCAGCGTAAAAATATCTGAGCTAACAGTAAATAGGTGAACCAGTCTCTGCAACTCCATGCTGGTTTGGTTTTCTGGGTTTTTTTTTGGTTTTTTTGGGTTTTTTTTCTGATATGTAAGCTAGCTTAGAAATCCTATCTACCATAGTACAGTTAGAAACTCCTAAAGTATGCTGCCATTGCAAAACCAGCTCTGTAGAATCCCAGTATCCTACTGAAGCTAATCCGATTCTTCACCTCTTGTGATCTCCACCACTCTCTCTATGGAATAATTTGTTAAAACAGAAATTTTCAGTAGAAAAATCTAGTTCCTGATTTTCCAAAATTGCTTTGGAATGCCTGTTAAGTATATTGTAAAATATACCTTATTTATGCAATAAAATGAGAATAACGTAGGGACAGGAAAATAAGGCAACATTACCTTTCCCTCATACATACTTACTTCTTAAACATTTTTTTTTTTTTAAGTTCAGTCTTTACAATTTCTGCTTGTATTAGAGCTAAGTTAACTGTTTATTTGTGATGGTATTTCAGCAATGAAAGAAATCCTAGTGTTCAACAACAAATACCTCCAGGGGATGAAACTAGGTTTCATAGAGCCCAATGTCCTTTAAATGTGACAATATAAACAAAGTATGTTTGCACACACAAGGACAATAGACATTACAAGTTGCTACCTTACCAGCCATACCAGAAATTTCAAGCTCTCTGAAAAGGTTGACCATTTTCCTGGTGTTGACTCACACAAATTGGTGGGTTGAAAGGACAGATGAATTGGTTAAAACTTCCAGCTCTCTGCTCCACTTCTTAAGCAGTGATGGGTTAACAGAAAATGAAGCAGTATCTGAAATGCTACAGTTTACAACCCAATGCGTAGAAGTAAACCAGTACTGTTTTCTATTTATTTAATACCCTGTGCTGTGCACTGTACTACTCATGACTGTTCCATGCTCCACTTGGCCACCCCAGCTCTGGCACCACAACCTGCGAGGCAGAGGTGGAACAGCTTTAGCTAGCTAATCTTAATATAATGTAAACAGGAATTTCAAAATCCCTGGATTTACGTGTTCATCCACCTACACCAAAAGCAGAATCTCCCTAGTTCATCTTTCCTTCAGGCCACCAATGCTTTTCACTGTCATATATGTCAGTTGCTCTTACCTGCTGTTTGAGAGCCTCTAGAGATTCAAATTCCAATTTGGCTAGTTTTATCTGGATCTCTCTTGGTTTATCCGGAATTACAAATGCCATGATAAACTTTATTGCTAGTAGCAAGTGCTGGAAAAAAAGTAAAAAGAAAAATATTGTTCTATAGAGTTTGAAGCATGAAAAGAACAGCATAATATTATTTCCAAATTTTAGTAATAGAGGTATAAACAATTATTTCTTGTGACATGTACAACATGGATAGCAAACTGTAATCACATTGAGCCTCAGCTAGTCCATATTTTTTCTATTTACAGTCATTCATAATTTGAATATAAACATATATAGTTTGGCTTATTTTCATAATAATCCTATTTTCACTATGTACTATAAATTTCTAATTCAATTTCGTATTTGTGATTCCACATAAAATAATAGCCTTTAAAACATATTATTGGTGCATAGAAATTAAATTATGACGCCCAGCACATACAGTTTCGTAGTGAAATTTTTACATATATATACATAAACATAAATGTAATTACATATAATTAGACGCAATTATAACTACATACATGCACGCACACATGTGCGCACGTCATGATACAATGAAACAAGCACAGTGTAAAAAATATGAACAAACCCAGAATTTCTGCATTAGAGAAGTTATTAAAACCTAAGAGCAATCCTGAGAAAGCATTAGAAGAGAACAAAACAAAATAAAATATGATCTTCAAAGAAGTGCGACATTCATGAACAGAAACTTTCTAGGAAATGGAGAAGCATTCCACATATAAGAGGCCAAATTAGTCATAATTTATCACAGAAGGTTATAATCTTATTTAAGAGAAAACAAGCATGAAGTTCCGTTGAACATAGTCATTGACCAGTCTTTAAATTTCACCTAAACATGCACCATTCCCCTCATCTCACCAAAAACAACTGTCAAACTGCCAAGGCAGTGGTTTTGTTTCTTCATTTTTGTCAAATATAAATATAATCTAAACAAGAATCATGAAATCTTATTTTATCAAGGGCTGAGCTAACAGTATGCTGCATGTTTGCACACAGGAACTTGCTCCTAGCTGAGAAAACCCTGACCAATATAAGGCAACACTTAAATACACGTGCTTAACTTTAAGCATGCGCTTAGGTTCCGCTGATATGATGATACTCAGACACGCTTAAATTTAGATTGCATGTCCAAGCTACTTATCAAATTTCCCTGAGTTTTTATAAAATGGAACAGATCAGTGCTCCTTTCTGAAATACATTTTGCTGAACTATATGATCTTGATGCACTTGGGCACATGAATAACAACGTAACAGACCAAAAATCCCCGAGATGCCGGAATAATGTGAGCAAGAAGCTAGCAAAACCACTACGGACTTCATGGGAGTGGTGGTGAAACTCTAAATAATCCAATTCCAATAAATAAGGAAGAGTTAAAGTAAGAAATCAGATAATAGTATTAAGTAAGAGAACAACAACGAAGAGCCATACATGAAATTATTTTAAAAAATGTGTTACAGGAAAATAGTTAGTAGGTCTAGGGAATTAACTGTTAGTGCAAGAAATAATACTTTATTTAAGGAGGTGAAAGGAAGGCTGAAAATTAATGTAACGCTAATACATCATCAGTGAAAACCCGAACACAGATTAAGAGGTTAATGAAGCAATTAGTACTGCCGCTGTGTAATGCAATGGGTAATACCGCATTATTAAAAAAAAAAAAAATTACGTCAACAGTAAAACAGTCTCCCACTCATACAAATTTTGTTTTCCCACTCAACTTAATAGTATCTGCTGCTAAAGAACTTTTCTTGGGAAAAAAAAAAAAAGATAGCAAACAATGTTGGTTTATGCTAGAAATACATAACAATAAAAGATATCTCAGAGCTATCACTGGAGGAATCTCTTAAATGGAACGAGGTAAAATGTTGAAGACAATAACAAAAAATAAGACAAACAATACTCCTATGCAGAATAGAGTCATAAGGAATCACAGGTTGAAGGGGAATAACTAATCTACAGATAAAATTTTGGTTTGGAAACAGGAAAATAAGGAGATCAAATGTGGAGTAACTCAAAACTAGATAACAGGATTAGGGTAAAATCTTACGCTTAAGGCAAATGACTGGCAGAACTAGCAGAACCTGAGGGATTTGGACAGGGATATTTATCTGAAAAGTTACAATGGACATTTCAGTTGAAAAAAAGACTCAGCATCACAAACTGTAGCTTCCAGCTGCCCAAAGTCCTTTGGACTGGAGTTCATCTCACTTTGCTAAATAAAAGAAAAAAAAATCATATTTTTTTAATCATATTAAAGAGCAACAATCAAATTTTGGAACTGTAATTGTTCAGCCACTGCCTCTTGAAGAACCTTGAAAACATAAGCCAAGCTAGTAACTTTACACAGAGGCTTCAAAGGAGCTCCAAATCCAAACAATTTTTACAAAAATAAACCAAAATAATTTCAGGGAAATGTAAATAATATCATGGAGGACAGAGACTGACTGCGTTTCTCCCCATTTTTGATAGGGGTGAGGAAGGAACAGGAGAAGAGACATATAGGGAAAATAGAAATAAAACCAACAAAAATGCTGCAGTTAATCCTGGAAAACACTGTATTTTTTTAAAATAGATTTAGAAGGGCAACGTGTTTTAACAACTTCACCATGTGAAGAGTTTGATTGTTGTATCAACTGACCAGAGCCCAGCAGTTCAGCAGAATTCCAGAAACGGGTTTTTTGGCAATAGGCTACCTGCTAGCCACATGTATTGAAAAATGCCTTTGACACAAACAAACTGTTTGTCAGAAAAGTCAAGTAGCTTTCATGCCAGCACAACTCAGAGCCTGTAAACACAAGGATGCAGCCTTAAACATTAAGGCAGAACCTCCGATTTAGAAAGCCTTCAAGCCAGAAAGGGCTTGAAAGTTGGAGTACAGATAGGGAAAGTCACTATTTTTGCTTGCCCTACTGTCATCCTTTCCTAGGCATCCACGATGGGCCACCGTAAAAAAAGATGATTGGGTTAGACAGGCCTTTGGTTTACCCCTCAGAACAGCTTTTTTGTGTTCTTTTCCCTCCCACCAAAACAAGGCTTTATCAGTCATAAAGTGCTCAGAACTGCATGGGATGTCTCTGTGCATAAGACTGTGATCTCAGAAAACACGTTGGACTTAACAGACAGCAAATTCAGTTCAGTCCCACCTCGTAACTCTCTGTGAACTTGAAAAAAGACAGCCTTCCATGGATAACTTCTCCAGCTGTTCCTATGTGCAAATTAGGAGTAATATTAATAACACTGGGAAGGTAACTGGCAGAAATTATGAGTGTGGGTCATATGATTCATGTAACCTCTTTAAAAGAAAATGTATCTGATTTTATTAAAAATTTATATTGCATTTTGGAATTGCCATTTGACCAAGGAAATGTAAGTAGTTATTAAAGAAAAACTCAAGAAAAAGTAGGGAGATGAGTAGTTGCCTTCATTTTATCGGTCATATTCTGTACGGATTTCTTAATCTTGTTTTAGTATAATTCCTGCAAGTCAGATCCATGAAAAGAAGCCATCTGCTTTCAACAAAGAATTGCCTTAAAAGTACAGTATAAATCACCAGAATAGACAGCAAAATTCTCGTTCGTAGTATAATGTTACATTAATGCTAGTACGAATATGCTGCAAAAAGAAAATACTAAAGTTTATGCAAATTTGCTACACAACTAGTGCAAATGTATTTGTCCATTACTAAAATTTCTTCATAGAGTTGGGTTTGGTTTTTTTTATTTTAGGGGTTTTTTGTTAAATCAGGTTACAAACCCAACTATTATTTCTAACTGCAACCATTAAAAAGCGGTGTTGTTTCCAAGAACATGCCCTTCATAATGATTACAAGAGGACTATTTCACTGCGAGCAAAACCCAGGATAACATTCACACAAGCTGTAAGCTCTCCGATGCCAGCAGCAAAGTCCCCTCCTATTCTGCAATCTGCCAAGTGGGCACAGAGAGAAACAGCAATGAGTCTCTCCCCCTTGATAAATGCAGTGCCATCAAACTATCTGTGGTCTTGTGCCAGGTGCTTAGAGAGCCAGCAGAACTCTTCTGTTCTGCAAAGCCACCGACAAGAGTAGAAGCAGCAGCTGTGTTTTGCAGCAGTGGGTCCCCAACCTTGTCTCTTCTAAAACAGAAAATGCAAATTAAGGTTAAATTCCTGGAATTTTGAACAGCTAATTTGATTTCTATAGTGGTCTTACTGCAGCAATTCCTGTCAAAATCTACTCAACTGGAAAAAAAAAAAAAAAAAAAAAAAAAGGTGGGGGGGAGAACATAAGCAGTAGCTGTGTTGCTGGTTAGCTGATAAAGTGCATGCCAAACATCAGCTTGGAGAGACTTCAATAAAATTTTGTATCAAAAGCCTATTTTAGAATCTAATATTTATAAAAACTTTCAATTAAAATCAGAAATTTGGACCTAGTCCACCCTAGAGCCGGTATGTACTATGAAACAAGATGGTCACTGGTTATTACCGCTGTGTAGGTAAAGAACCCAACACAAAAGCCAACACCTGAGAATGGCACATCGCTTTGAACCTCTGTTCTCTGCTGGTATATGCAAAATGCCTTTGCCAATGTAAAGGAAAGTATCACTGCAAGATCATGTTGCTGTGAGAGCAGAAGGCAGGGAGAATATTAGATTCTTTGCTAGGCCTCCAGATCGCAGTATTCTGACATTAAACTAAGCTACGATCAAAGCCTAAGAACAAACTAAAAAATAAATTTCTCTCTTTCTGTGGCAACAGTTTTTAGCTTTGAGAGTCTTGCATCTTTCCGAGAGCAGAAAAGAGGTGGGAGGAAAGTGAAAAATAATTCTGTCAAGGGAGCAACACAGGCAATGAAAAATTTCCATAAAGCTCAGGAAGTTCAATTAAATTAAATTGTCTTTAATAGACAGCAATAAAATAAATTTATGAGCAAATATTTCTGCAATATGCATAAAAAGAAAGCACGACCAAACTTTCCTTCCCACTTTTAGACTGAACTGGCTTCACTACAGAGTCTTGCTAATGGAGCAGAATCATCACAGCTGAGGGACTTTAAAAAGGGCCTTTCTTCTGCTACACT